AAATCCCTAGTCGCATGCTCAAAATTCCGTAAAACGGTCTTAACTCTTCACAGATAGACCATGGGCACGAATCTTTTTAGGGTTTTCTTAGTCTCATAGAGACCTACCTTATAGCCATAATATGGAATCGAACGGCGTCCGTCAGTTGGGGACCTTCCCTCGTGAGTATATGCCCGAAAGTTTTGCAGCGACCAAATTCCAGAGAAGTGTCATTTTACGTATCTCAAGTTCTGCATGTGGATGCCACGTAAATTCAAGACCCACATACGTACGTTAGCGTAAGTGTGACGAACTTTTCATTGGACTTGAGATAAATTAAACCTTTTCTGTAGATTTAAGAGCTCTCTATCAGTGTTGGATTCTAACTAGGTATTTCTATTCAATGTTTTCGATGTTTCTCACAGCCTATTCGTATGAAAAGTAAAAAAGAAGGAAAAGAAGGATTTTAGGAGGAAAGAAGGACGAAGAAGGACGATCTAAAAAAAGAAGGAAAAAAGAAGGAAAGAAGGAGCGCTGCGAGGCCTGTAAATATTTATTGTAAAGAAAATTTCAATTATTAATCTTCTTTATTTATTGTTTAAGCTAAAACCTTTAGGATGTTGTAATGGGTCTGAAACTTGTCTACAGATAAAACTTTAGATGGAAATCTTATAATGAAGGTTTCTGAAAGGGTCTTTCCTAGAGAAGGAAAATTTCAATATAAGAATGTCATAGTAACAGAAAAACTGATTTTACAAATATCGATGATCTTAACGAGAGTAGTTTTGTTGTGAAAGTGTCAGATCTTTTGATTCGGTTCTATCTTGAAATTCGAATATTAAATCATCTAGTTTACGTGAGCGATCTGCAAGAAACGCTATCAATTCGAAATTTGAAAATCATTTTTTCTGTTAACACAACATTCATTTAAAAATATTCTTTTAATTTAGTTTTTATTAAATCTTCAAATGTTTCTTCACAAGTATCATTAAATAATTCTTTAACTTATATTCATACAATAAGTATTCGACAATCGATAATTTATTTTATTTGGTTCACGTTATGCATCAAGTATAAATAGTGAGCAATCCATAGAAAATAGTGCAATACGAGAGTAAAATAAACAAAAAAAAAACGAATTTGATTTATTCTGTCTGTTTTTTTGTTTTCTATTCTAGTTTTTATTGAACTAAAAAAAATTAGTCTTAAAAAATATATTAATACAAATGAAAGTGATTTTCAAGCTGCTGTACTCGATTTACTTGTTCAATTACTTTTAATTCGTGTTAATTATAGTTAATTAGAAGGTGATGAAATTCGTTGCATTTCTAATCGTTTCGTTTATTTTTAATTAGCATTTTATTTATTGTAGTGCTGAATTTCTTATTATGTTATTACATGATACACTTCATTCAAAACAAGTTATTAAAGTACAAGATTTAATAAAACATTATGATTCATTATTAGTAAGTGGACATGAACCTGAAATACATAGTAGGAAGCAAAAAAAATATAATTTTTGAGACAAAGAAATTATCGTTAAAATTCTTTATTTAGCTCTGGCAGTATTAGAACCAGTTTTATATGATTTTTTTCTTGTTCAAGTTATGCAAATAATTAAAATTCCTAAAAAGTTTTATTAAATGAGAGTGAACAAAAAGTGTCCTTCTATAAAGTCTCAAATATCTTAGAAACTCGAGAGGGTGTGAGTGTGGGTGTGTAGATGTAATTTTTCTCCTCGATTGAACCCACACCCTCACTTCAACGAATTGATGATCTAAAAATAATTATCTTGTTGTTATGTATCTGAGTTTGAAGAAAAACTAGGCGTCTTAATTATTATAAATAAAAGTATCTTTTCATATCATGTGTATGTACTGAAAAAATAATAATAGAATTTATATTGTTATAGGCTTTACGATTGTTCACAGTTATTGTTAATAGTGTTCAAATTGAAGATGATAAATGAAAACGTCTTTGACGACAAATTGTCGATTTACTTCTTGCTCATTTACAATCTCAGGTTATTTTACTTTTAATAGTCTCTGATTTTGCGTTACTTTTTTTTTTTTTGTTCAAATAGGATCAATTACTTTTTGGATATATATTCCACACAATTAACACTATTTGATGTTGTGTCATCAGTTGAATTACGACTAATTGATCCATTTGTTATTGCTTTTCAAGTATTAGTAAATAGAAATGTTCGCTATTTTTATTAATAAAATTTTCCTGTAGTTTAAAACTTTTTAGAATGTCAATTGTCAATCTACAAATCGATAGTTAATCAATATAAATATAATATTTCGATGTCTTGTACAAAATTTAACTGAAGATGCTATATTAACACGATAGAATGATGTTTTATTATCAGTTGATGGAACACGAGATGAAACTTTTAGTGCGTAAGTATTCGAAATGATTTTATTTATAATTTAAAAACTATTATTCTCATTTTTGTTTTCAGAACTCTTCTTCGAATTTTACATGACGTAATATTACGAATTTTAACTAATACTCAACAATTACGTGGTCAAATCAATGTGACATTAGCTTCTCTTGCATCCTATTACCTTTATGTACTTATGTATATTATGGACTAACTGAACAGATAAAAACTGGTTTCTATCAAAGTCAAAAGAGCTTAAACTTTCATCGTAATCTATATAATAGTAACATATCACCCATTAATTTGAAGATAAAATTTTCCTGCAATTCATTAATTTGACTTTAAAATTCCTATGCTTATATAAAATCTATGATTTTATTTTAGCTAAACAATTTCGAACAATTGTAAATGATTTTCGTGAATTATGAATTCATGATGAAACTGTACATCGCCTTGATACATTTTCATATTTAACTATTTTAAGTGAATGTTTTAAATTATTATAATCATTATTTTATATACCACTATTATTACAACGTACACATTCTGAAATATGCTTGATTATACACAAGAAGCATGGTGGTCACCGATATTAACACCATCATCATCAAGAATACATTTATCTATAAGTGGTCAATTACAATCTTATTGTGATTTAATATATCATCATGAATTATATGTTGAACATGTTGCATCAATAACAACACATTATCAATTATTATTATTATTTTTTATTTGAGCAAAGTGATACATGTACATATGTGCATAATTGATTTGGTCCTATACATCATACAGTAGTTGCAAGTCATTTATTCGTTTGTGAAGGAATACATTTAGATGAAAGTGGTCTTGTATTAGTTTTATTAATTGAACAATTTCTTCCATTAGCATATATATCTGTATTACGTTTAGCTGAATTAATTGTTTATGATCGTATTGAAACGATGTTAACACTTGACCAACAAACATTAAATAAACAATTATTACCTAAATATTTACTATTAATTTTATAAATATTATCAATAACAATATTAATCGATATTATTAAAGAAGATTTTAATAATCTTAATTATCCTGTGGATATAACAAGAAAAATTGATGCACAAGTGTTTAAAAATGTAACTTGTAAAAAATGATTACCATTTATGATGTCACTGGTATGTTTTAGTTTAATTTATCGAACTAAATACATATATATGTATAATAAAAGTTTCAATTCAAGTAAGAGAAAATTTTCTTTTTTACTTTGACATTGTTTATGTGCTAATAATAGATGAGACTTTTGAATAATTCAAAATTTCGAAACATATTTTGAAATAGAAAATATGCAGAATTTCAGGTAATACAAATCATAAAGGAAAGCATTTAGGCTACATTAGTAAAATTCTGAGTTGTGCTATTTGTACTGTTACAATTAAAGAAAACGATGTCTTTCTAATATTATATCTCGTAAGATGTTTTCGATTGTATTATTTATTTGCGACCGAAAATAATTTTTAGAAATCAGAAATTTCAAGTTTATGAAACATTCTTCGAAACAAATATCATGAACCGATGACTAAGAATGCAACAGTGATGTTCATCTTATATTCATTTCGAGTTTTTCGATCGAAGGAGATCTACTTCATAAAAGCAGCTGAGTTTTATAAAACATCACGAAGTCTTTCTCAAACGATAAAATTGCATTCAAGAATTTCGACAAATTTTCTATAGGCCTGAATTCCTGGACTCCGAAAACGTATTGGATTTTTTTCCATAGCATAAAATTTTTAGGATGATTCTTATAGTAAATGAAAATTGATTTGAGAAAATAAGAAACAATTTAAGTCTATTCTTTTTTTTTGTTTTCCTAGGTTTTTGTATCGTTATATCAAGCGCCTCATTGTCTCATCCTTAGTATTCTATCAACATAACGATTAATATCAAATGAAACAAATTTAAATGATGTTGAAATAACACCTAATATAATTTACATAAAAAGTCTTTTATCATGCTCTAATAATCAACCATATTCAATTGCATTCATAGATTCTATAAACAATGTATTTTGATAAAATACAAAATCATGTTGAATTAACATGTCAATTTTCAACAGGTGATGTACGTGATTTACTACGTTCTATAATATTTATATCAGAAATAATTTATATAAATATATTTCAAAAAAAAATCATTTCTTAGTTGTGAAATAGATTAAATAATGTCATGTCTTACGTTGTGGAAAACACTTTTATCAATATTTGAATATTTTTATCAATGACATAGTTTAACTGTATCAAATAAACAAATCAATTATTATAATCATATTTAAATTTAATTGAACTAGATAATAGATCATTTATACAATTATTACTTTTATTATTTAATAATCTTGATCATCTTTAGTATTTAACAAGAAAAATTAAATATATAAATCATATATTTATTGGCATAATTTACATTGTATAGCTATATTATTATTTTGTTTACCAATATTTATATAAAGACAATTTTGGAGTTGGTTGATTATTAAGAAGACAATTTCAAGAAATATAGGCTTCATTTTTAGCGTTCACTTAATCCACCACAAATCAATCTAATGATGAAAATGAACAAACAACAAATAATTTAAAAAAAAAGAAGAAACTTTAGAAACAAATGCAACACAATGGTAACAAGATTAAAAAATAAACTAGATTTTATCTGTTCTTTTTTTATCGGTGGTCAATATATGCAAACACGTTCAACATCAGATACAAGTTAAAATAATTTATTTAAAAATATTGAACGGTTAGGTACACGTGATTTATTATCCTATGGACAACTTTCATATGATACTATATTAACATCAATCCAAAGTAATAATACATTACCATTATCAATTAATGTAAGTCTCACATATCTTTTAATAATCGACAAATAGAACTTCTAGTTTGGTTAATATTAAATATTCAACATAAGTGTATACAGAACTCTAAGTTAAGAGAAAGATAAATTCATTGCTAAATTATTAATTTCATCAAACAGAAAATCTAGTGTTTCTCTGACTTTGATTTGATATATAATACATGCAAACTATCTTATTTCATATAGATAAAAGCTTATATCAACAATTTCAAATATATTCTATTAATAAAGTCTAAAATATCAGAAATATATCCTATCAATCAGAAAATTAGAGTATGAACATTTTCGTCGCTGGTATTCACCTTTAAAAATATATAATTTAGAGTTTATTTGATCGCTTATTTTTTCATCATGGTTTTGATTTAACATCATCATTACAAATTCTAATTGAAATATATGTAATACGAATTAATAGATTCATTTATATATCTATCTGATTTATTTCCATCATCACAACATTTATCAAATTTATATGATTTATGTGATGAATATTTTCGTACATGGTTTGATAAAGATGATTTAATGATATCATTAATAAGTTATAATTTATGTAAATCTGGTATATTATTTGAACAAGCAACAAAAGAATATAATGAATTATATATACATTTAATTGAACATAATTATAAATTAATAACTAAAACTCATGCATATGCATCATGTTTATTTTTACTTGAAAGTCATGAAGTTGATTTAAATTCATATGATATTTTATTATCATTAATTAAAGATGATAATTTAACAAAAAAATATATCAATTAGTCTTGAAAGACTTTTAATAGTTGGTCAATATCCTAAAAAATGATATATGCCGTTTTATATGAACGTTCAATAACAATAATACGACAATCATCATCGTTCAATATTGATTATCTTGTTTGAATACTTGCATGTATTTATACATTATTACAACAACCAAATGAAAATACAAATTCATTAAATAATGAACATGCTAATAAAGAACAAAAAATGATTGATAGTTCATCAATAATATAATCATCAACATTACCATATGAAGCTTTACTTTTATTACGTCTATTACCATTATTATTTGCACATATTGGTTTATCGGATCGTTTAATGAATAAAATGGTTTTAGAATTTGCTGCATCAACACAATAATTCTATCCTCAAATACTTGCATATACAGTCTTTGCTTTTTTTCATGCTTTAATTAATGCACATTATTCGACGAAAGTTAATGAATGTACTTTATTATCAATGACAAATATTGCACAAAGAAAATCAATAGGTATGGCTATATATGGGTTAACTTGTCTTACGTTAAATACATGTCTATCACATACAATTGCTGATGCATTGTAAGTATTTACTTAAATCATTTATCCTTGCTCATCTTTTTTTCTTTGTTCTTTATATTAATCTTTAAAGAAAAAGACTCCGTATTAAAATTTCATACTGATGATTTAATAGTGAAGTCGGATTTGAGCTGCTGAATGAGCTATTTTTTTTCACCTATGGTTAAATATTCTTTCTAGTTTTCCTTTCAAAAATTATCAAGACTTACATGTACGATTAAAATTTATTTGGGAAAGATAAATAGTAAAATATTAATGAAAAAAAACTCTTTGTTGCAATCTGATGGAATGACGATCAATACAAAATCAATAAATTTCGCCATGAAATGTCAAAATGAATTCTCATTGATAATATGGTATATCTTTTACTTTTTTTATGTTTTCATTGCCGTTATCACGTTTCTGTGCTCGTTTTAAAAAATTAGACAATCATTTATTTCTTATTTCTGATCGAGAATATTATCTGCAAGTATTATAAAAGAGACAAAAGAAAAGCTCCAAATATTAATTGTATCAAAACAAATCTATTTTACTTATTTTAGTTAACGAATATCGAACAACGACGTCAATTTAAACAAGCATTCATAAATGAATCGAATCCAAAAAAATTATATGCTGATTTACTTGCACACATTCAAAATACGATCTTTCATCGTCTTGGGTGCGGATGTAGATGGATCATATACTCTCTCTTACCCACACCCTCAATAAAGACTAAAAATATTGATTCATAAAATGAAAACATATTAACAAGAATTCATTTATCTACTTTTTTACTAGAATCGGTCTCTGTTATAACATTCATATCCAGATTTTCTAAACCAATGAGAATAGATTGTCATTAAATTTTAATTGCATATACTAATACGAAATAGATTCAGTAAAATATCTCTAGTGAACATTATTGTTGTTTGCAAAAGATAATCCATTTCCACAAAAACCATCAGTCTCATTTATTTTGTGCATTTGTGCTCTAATTTCTGTTTGGCTTGTTGATTTCTATTTCATATTGTATATTTTATTATGATTTTAACCATTGATTTACCTAGTAAAGTCGGTTAAAGTATTCAGAAACATATTTCAGCCATTAAAGTTTCATGGAAGGCTTTAAAATGTTTTAGAATAGTCTATATCTGGTTGATGAGGTCATTCAGTGTGTTTTCTCTTGCCGTTCATCTTCCTTTTACTAGGAAAATCATACTCATTGATCTCTAACCTTTAAACCATGTCGCTGAAGTCTAAAAGAAAGCTGTACAAATCTGAACTAAAACTTGCATTTATAACCAGTACTTTTAATAATATCAAGAAGAATGTGGATATAGATGTTGATATACTATTTAATCACACCCACGTTCTCTTTGAATCGTTTTGGTTTAGTACATTATATGTAAAAGCATCTACCATACTTCATCCAATTGAACTGTTTTCTGAAAACCCATTAATAATGATAAATTCAAAAAGTCTCGCACTACAATCGTTTCTTTTTATTCAAATAACAATTCTTTTTTTCTTGATTTATTATTCATACTTTTTATTATTTTGTTATCAATACAAAAAGAAATTCATAATAAAGTAAAAAACATTGCTCATTTTCTAAATACAAACAATCTCAAACTCCTGACTGTCATCAACAACATTGTCTACATATGCATCGTTCATCTCACCTTCATATATTAGAAAATATGAACATCAGTGTTTTCTTGTAAGACGACAGTCTGATTATCACTTGACAGTATTTAACGATAACTATCAGAAAGGGAATCAAACCAACTTCAACAGATCCGAGTTCAGTTCGGTGCTTGACAGGCGTGGTATTGTCCTGTAAAGTTATTTTAGATTTTAAATTTCTGAGAATTTATTTATGAAAATCATAAACTTTGCTAAGTTTAAAGTCAACAATACAATCATCAAAATAGATGACTTCAGAAAAAATTGATCATAAATAACGAAAATTCAATCATCACCATAACATATTTTGTAAGAAAATGGCCACACCGTGTTCCTGTTACATTCTAAAGATACTAAAAGACTTGTACACACACCCAGGTTAAACAAGCAGGCAGTTAGATCTTACAAGAATTCTAGAGTGCATTTTAATGTAAAATATGTTAGGTCACCATTCTAGTATGATTTCAGCTGATCTTACAAGATAAAATACTTCAAAGATATTTATATTTACTTATTCACTTTTCCAAAATTACTGATGTCTGGTTATGGTAGATGTCATTGTCCCAATGAATAGTATGATGCCGAATCCTGTTCTATTTTCATTACTGAGAATAAGAGATGATTAGCAGCTTATGAACGAGCTGATGACACGAACGATGGTCGTATTTTTCAAAACTTTTTTCTCATAATCTACTTTCGTGATTTAAATTTTGTGTTCTAACTTACGTAACTTTGCTTCAAATATTTTTTTTTGTCGTTGAAACAGTAAACTTTGCACACATGTGACGAAACAAAATAAAGAAATTTTTCCCGCAAAATTTAATTTGAACAGAGGTGTATGCAATATCGTGTGAGTTTCCGGTTCATCTACAAACTCACACACCCTATTGTCTATGAATCATGGCTTAGATAGAAAAAGTCTAAAATAAATATTGTTTTCCGTTTCAACTGATTCTAGCCATTCTAAATCCAATCAGAACTTATTTTAAGCAAGTCAAATAATTGAGTTTATAGTTGAACTTTAATTCTCAGTAATTAACATAACTTATCGTTGTATTCTTCATTTTTTCTCCTGGAGAAATGTTTCTTTTTTTTTCGATTTTGAAACAATTATCAATTTAATTTGCGTTTTGTTTCAACAAGGAAGTCGTTGCCAACTCGTCTAGACTAAGAAAATATTTTCCCACAGTTACAGTTTATTGCCTGTCTCTTCTGAATAGATCAATCAATCTCATCCACATTTTTCTAGCTAACTTTGTTTTATTGAAATATAAGGTTACTTGATTTCCGCCAAAATGACTTTCTCCAATATGTCATTCCCTGAAGTCACACTTTCCCGGACATTCGCTATCGACAAAATTGAGAAACGCTAGATATTATCAGTTAAGTCTCCGAATCTTAAATAAATATATTTCTTCCGAATAATTGAAAATTTAGATAAAATTGGAATTAGGTTGTATCACAAATATTCACTCTGTTCTTTAATTAGCCTTAAGAAAATCTTGTATTTTTTAAAAACTCTGCATTGAAAACAAAAACAAACGTATGTCTGTTAACTCCGACTGAAGTATTCGCTAGTCAAAGAAACATTTGAATTAGTAGTTTTAATAATTATTTCAATACACAGCAGTATGTGTACGCAAATCTTTTCATCGCTAGTAAATTTATCGATAAAAATCTTGAACAAACTGTTCAAATTCTTCTGAAAAATCATCATTTTTATAAGTTTACTTATGCGCTCATATCAAAGACGTATTCTTTCTTAACTACTGCTTCCTCGTACATTGAGATGAGTTCAGTGAATAATAAAGTTAAGTTCGTCAACTGTTATCTTTTTAAGAAGATTCATGGTTCCATAAACTACATATGCCTTTTTCTTCTTTTCAAGGAACTATTGTCTTTGATCAATTACTTTTTGCTTAAAAAAAACATCAAATTTTGATAGCATTTGAAATCAATATTTTCGAAGTTAATCATCGGTTGAGAAAAAAGTTAGGAGAGTTACAAATCTTTCACTTTGATCTGATTATCTATAGATGACTGAGTCAAACTATTTGAACTTTCTCTTCTATTATTTTTCATAGATCTTTTAAAGCTTTATACAAGATTTCTTTTTCTCTATCGCATTCGTGTAGTTTTTAGACATAACAAAAGGTGATTGAAAAGTTTCGACTCCTATCAGTAAATTAATGGTCATTGATCGAAATATATGATTTAATAGAGGAAAAGAGAGAGCTTTATCTAATACGAAAACACTTTGAAATCCATCAATATATTCCACTGCTGTTTGGTATTTTATCAATTTAGAGTGAATAATTTCATCTTATATTTTTGAGAAAAGTTCCTTTTACATAATAGTGGTATGTCTTTCACCCCAGCAAGAGTTTAAGAATACTCAAAAATAGAATACATTTCAAGTTGTTAATTTTCGGTCAGTTATATGTGGGAAAGGAAATAGAACAAGATGATAAAGGGAGGAAGAGTTAAAGTAGGGTTCAGTATCAAAATCTAACTGGAAATAAATTGATTCTTAACAATAAAAAAAAATCTTCTGTTCAAATATTAGTGTTATTGTTTTCATGTAGGAGGAATTTTTTGTATATACTCTAGCGTAGTTCATATGTTGATTTTGTAACCCTTATGTGTGTCATGTAACAAAGAAAAAAAAACTATAACGAACTTCTTTTTCTTCTTTCTTAAGTTTCATTTTCTGTATTTGTTTGATTGTTGTTTTCATACACATCTTACTAAGCGTCTGTCAGTAAATCGAACACAAGTCATCATTTAATCTTAATCTTCCGGATAGAAAAAAAGCTTGGTCCTTTGTTTTTAAACAATTTGAACTTGTACTGTTATAGAAATTCTCTTATGATACGGATCGTTCAATATTTCTTCATGTAGTTTCAAAACACAGCTGAGAAACCTAAAAGAAAATTTTTTTGACATATCGATTGCGGTACTACTACTAATTTCAATTGAATCAATTGAATTGCTTGTTGATGAAAGTAAATGCATTATATGCATTCTCTCCAATTGATTTACTCAAAAGAATATTTTGACAATTAAATAAATATTCATTTTCTTTTTTTTTTTTATTTCAAAATAAAAAACCTCTTGTGACTAATAGACAAACAATAAACAATTTACGATACCAACAATCATTCTAGTCAAGTTTAAGAGTCAATCTCATCGATTGTAGCGACATTTATGAAATATTTTTAAATATTATAAGGATAAAATTTATTTTTTATAAAAATTTCTTGTTTTGAAAAATCCAATTAACTTTACTATTCAAAAAGAATATCAAATGAATACGGAGTGTCATTGGATAATTTGATTGGTCCATGTTGTCAATTCCAACAAATGTTCTTTCATTTGAAACTAGACCGTATAGTTTGTTTTCTTTTTTTTTTGTTTGGATCTAAACCTAAGACAAAGTTCTATTTAGATCTTTTTGTATAAACTGTGATTCGCAAAAGCAATGCTTGCATCATTCCGAAAACAGGACAAAAAGGATGAAGAATCAGGAACAAGTGGAAATCCATATAAGAATCTTGAAAAAGCATCTGTTCTTCAAGAAGTAAATTTTTCTCTTTTTTTATAAATTGAAATAAACTATTTGAAATAGGCTCGTACATTTAATGAAACTCCTGTAAATGCACGAAAATGTATTCAAATATTAACAAAAATTATTTATATGATTAATCAAGTAAGAATAAATAAATCATTTTTTTTTTCTTTAAACAAAGACTTATTTCATACTGTTATTTGTAGCCAGATATGGTAAAAAAATATTTTCTTTTGTTTTCTGTTAATGGTGAAAAGTGAATCATTTCGGGAAAATTTGTTCTTTATTATTTAGATTACTTTTGTATTTTTAGTATTTTTGAAATAAACAAATTTTAATATTTTTTATTTTTAGGGTGAACAATTAGGTCAAACAGAAGCGACAGAAACATTTTTTGCTATGACAAAATTATTTCAATCCAAAGATGTAAGTTTATAATTATTTTTCTTTTGAGAATATTATCCTAACGATAAATGTAGTAGAGTAGATTTGACAAGTATAGAAAATATTTCGATCCTATCGTAATGTAATATAATCAAATTTTTGTTTATTTCGACAGTTCTAGGTGAAAATCAGACAACTTGATCATATTATGCACATACTTAATAAGCAATTTAAGGAATTAGCTCGTAAACTAAAAGTAACATATTCAATGACAACGTTCAAGTTTGATAATATGTTTCCATTGGATAGAGAATACACTAGATGAATATGAACTTTTTGCTTGATTTGTTATGAATGAAAGAAATTATTATCTGTTTTAATTAGAGTTTAGAAAAAAAAATTGCTATGAAACAGGTCAAAAAGTTTAAAATCGTTAAGTGATATATCATGAAACTTTCTTGTTCTTGAAGTATGATTTAGATGAACTGCCTCGTTTATCTCTATAACACTAATTGATCTTTTTTACTTACATTTTCAATTTCTTAAATCTATAAAATTGTTCACTATTTGTTTATTTATATAATTAGATGATGCTTCGTCGTATGATTTATTTATCAATAAAAGAAATGTCAACAGTTGCAAGTGATGTTATAATTGTAACATCAAGTTTAACTCGTGATATGACTGGAAAAGAAGATTCTCATCGTGGACCAGCTATACGAGCCTTATGTAAAATTACTGATGTATGTTAATTTAAATATATTATTTTAAATAAAATATTTATTTAATTAATTAAATAGGCATCAATGATGCAAAGTGTTGAACGATATATGAAACAAGCAATTGTTGATAAATTACCATCAGTTGCATCGGCTGCATTAACATCATCAGTTCATTTAATGCGTCAAGGTCCTGAAGTAGTTAAACGATGGGTTAATGAAGTTCAAGAAGCTGTTAATAATGATAATATAATGGTACAATATCATGCTCTTGGTCTTTTATATCAAATACGTCGAACAGATAAACATGCTATTAGAAAATTAATTGTTAAATTTTCTAAAGCTGGTCTTCGAAGTCCATATGCATATTGTTTTCTGGTTAATATATCAATTTTTTTTATAATTAATTCAATGTTTGAATTTTTGCATTTTTTTTTTGTTTTAGATTCGTATTGCATCTAATCTTATAAATGAAGAAGGCGAAGGGTAAAAAGAATACATTTGAAATTAAAACAAGAAAGAAAAAAAATATATATATAAATTTATTTATAGAACGGATAGTCCAATGTATGATTTTATTGATTCATGTTTACGTCATAAAAATGAAATGGTTATTTATGAAGCTGCATCAACAATTGTATCACTTAAATGTGTTACACCAAAAGAACTTAGTTCAGCTGTTAATGTTCTTCAATTATTTATTTCATCACCTAAACCTGTTTTACGTTATGCAGCCGTTCGAACACTTAATAAAGTTTGTTTTATAATTATTATATAAGAAAATTTAGAATTCTTTTTTTTTTATTTAAAGGTTGCTATTCAATATCCAGCAGCAGTAACAGCTTGTAATGTTGATCTTGAAACATTAATTACTGATTCAAATCGTTCAATTGCAACATTAGCTATAACAACTCTTCTTAAAGTATATTTATTTGATTCTTTGTTTTTTTTTCATGAAATAATTTAATTTATTTTTATAGACAGGTAATGAAGCAGGTGTTGATCGATTAATGAAACAAATCTCATCATTTTTATCTGAAATATCAGATCAATTTAAAACAGTTGTTGTGGATGCAATTAAGTAAGAAATAATCAAACAAACAAAATTTTTTTTTCTTATGATTATATTGAATATTTAAAGATCATTATGTCAAAAATTTCCACGTAAACATACTGTATTAATGACATTTCTTGCAAATATGTTACGTGAAGAAGGAGGTTATGAATATAAAAAGGCAATTGTTAATACAATTATTTCAATTGTTGAAGAAAATCCTGAAGCAAAAGAAGCCGGTAAAAATCAAATAATGAATTCTGTTTTTTATATTTAAATTTATTTAAAAGGTTTGGCTCATTTATGTGAATTTATCGAAGATTGTGAACATACATCATTAGCTACTCGTATTCTTCATTTATTGGGTCGTGAAGGACCACGTACAACAACACCAGCTAAATATATTCGTTATATTTATAATCGTGTTATTCTTGAAAACGCACCTGTTCGAGCTGGTAAAATTTTTCTTTTTCTTTTTTTTATTTTATTTCTAATTAATTAATATTTGTAGCTGCCGTAAGTGCATTAGCTAAATTTGGTGCAGCATCAGAAGATTTATTACCAAATATTTTGGTACTTTTACAACGAACAACACTTGATCAAGATGATGAAGTTCGTGATCGTGCTACTTTTTATTATCAATTATTAAAACATAATGATAAAGCTCTCAATTCAGCTTATATTCTCAATTGTAAGTAAATATAAAATAACAAAATAATATATTTTTTTTTATAGCAATGAATGTATCATTATCATCACTTGAACGTCTTTTACATCGTTATACAATTGAACCAACAACAAAACCATTTGATGTTCGATCTGTACCTGTTGAAGCAGTACAAGTTGAACAACCTAAAGGTTTGATATTTACTTTTGTTTTTATTATTTAAAAAAAGAAAAACTTATCTTTTTTTCTTTTGTTATATAGCAGATATTAGTGTTGGTCTTCCACGTCCAGGAGTAGAAACAAAAACAAATCGAGAAGATACTTATGGTGGTAAGTTTTTGAAAATAAATTTTTCTTTTATAAATTCATTTTTCTTTTGTATTTCTTAGAACAATTATCTGTTATACCAGAATTTGCTCATTTAGGTCCAATATTTAAATCATCATTACCAGTTGATTTAACTGAAAGTGAAGTTGAATATGTTGTACGATGTATAAAACATGTTTTTAGTCATTATATTGTTTTTCAAGTAAATATGCCACTAATTCTCTTTTTCTTTTTTTTTTATTCTTCTTATTTTAAATTTAGTTCGATATCAATAATACACTAAATGATCAATTATTAGAACGAGTAAGTGTTCAAATGGATGGATCAGCTGAAGGTTTTGAAGTTGTTCATTATACACCTTGTCAAGTAATTAAATGTAATGATACGGGTACAGCTTATACATTAGTTAAATTGCCTGATGATTCATCAGCTGTAACTGGTACATTGGCATGTACAATGAAATATACAGTTAAAGATTGTGATCCAGCAACAGGTTTACCAGATGATGAAGAAGGTTATGCTGATGAATTTGTGGTTTGTATTTTTATTTTTTATTTTTTTTCATAGCATTGTATGTTTGTTTTTAGCTCGAAGATATTGAAATAACAGTTAGTGATCATGTACAAAAAGTACTTAAACCAAATTGGTCTGCTTCATGGGATGAAATTGGAGCTGAAAATGAACTTGAAGATACATATACATTATCAATTCCAACACTTGAAGGTATCAATCAAATTGTTATTTTTTTTTTGTTTTATTTTTCATTATGTCTTACGTTTATTATAGAATGTGTAAAGAAAATAATAAGTTACATGGGAATGCAAGCTTGTGAACGATCAGACAAAGTTCCAGAAGGCAAAGCATCACATGCACTTTATTTAGCAGGTGTCTATCGTGGTGGACATGATGTACTTGTTCGAGCAAAAATGGCATTGGGTGGTACAACAGCTGATCCAGGTGCACAAGCTATTACCATGCAATTAACAATACGTTCGACAGATGAATCAGCTGTGCAAGTCATTGCTTCTGCAGTCGAATAAATAAATAAATAAATAAATAACAAAAACATTCATACATTTTATTAGCATACTTTTCTTTGTTGTGTGGGACTTTTTATCGATGTGCGAGTGTTATGAACTTATCATTCTCTTACTCTAAATAATATAAACAAAAACATACTTTTTCATCAATTATTTTTCTATCATTGTGCCTAATCGAAAAAAACAACAACAATCGATTCAATGCAATTATTGACAAATGCTAATAAAGCATTTATAATTTTTTTTTCTTATCAAGCTAGTTTTTCTGTTCGTCTACAATCTAAATGCAAACGTTAAAAAACTTCACCTAATTATCTTAAATATATTTTTTTATCATTTGAATAATATTATTTCGAACAGAATTTATGTTATTGAACGTCAAAGTAAATTAAAATGAATAAAATATACTTTGACGAAATCATTAATTGTTTCTTGGCGTTTCAGGAAAAGGTAAGTTGAGAATACTATTGACTGATTGCAGTTCGTTCAAATTTGCTATATGATTGTAAAATAGTTTAGCCGAATTGATGTTGTCCTAACTAGAAGAAAATATTCACGATTATTTACGTTGATGATATTTGCGCGATCAAGATCAATAAACTTTACTAGCGATTGTTTAAATATTGATTTGAAGCTTCGAAAATTTTGATTTTTGTCAATAAAAATTTAATTTCGTACTCATTGGATTAACTAACATCACACACGTTCATCAACAATGATAATCTTGCTTGTCTAATTTATATTGTCAAAAGAATTGTTGATCGATCAAGTATATTGTCACATATTATCACTCAGGAACACCAAGATAATACTCTACTAGACAAAGAACTAATTGAGCTAACACTATAAAGAAAATGAATACATCGAAGATTATATCAAGAAGCACACTATACTAGAATACAGTATGAAACTAGATTGACAGACAATTAAAAACCATAGTACGAACTGCGCTTTGAAGTTTTCAAAAATTCATTAGTAAACTTTTTGAAAAGCTATTCAAACACTAACTAATATCTGAATTGAATAGAAGAGTCAGTCTTTCTTCGTGTTAGTATCTAAAACTTAAAAGACAAGTGATTTTCTTTTGTATGGATAATATAAAACATTATGCTTTTTAAAAAGATATTTCAATCAGCCGATCTAAGTTGATGAAATTGATAAGTACGTATAACCATTTGTATTAGTACAAAACTTTACTTAATACATTTTCGAATGTTTCTGAAAAATGCTATAAATTGATCATTTAATTATTTATGTTATTCATTATATATTATCTGCTGTCGTTACAAACATAACATTGCAAAAATTTTATTTTCGAATTTGGAGAAAATTTTTCATTATCCATTCTTTAATCCATCTTGTCCGAAATTACAAAATTTCACTTTGCACTGCACTAAATTCAGAAGCATAGTTCAACGTATCAATTGTGTCATACGAAAAAAAAAGTTATTAATAGCATTGCATAAAAACTCTCTGAAGAATCATATACGATATGATAATGCACGAAAATAACAATCAAACGAGTTCGGAACCGTGTCTTCTTGATTGTGGACGAAAATCAAACCAATTAGCATGCCGACAGTGTGGGTGAGGGCTGAAATTTTGTCCTCAATTAAGAAGTAGCCTTCGAAGGTTCATTTTATTGTTTTTGCTTTTCATTCATCAAAAATTGATTTAAAGTTTGAAGAAAAATACAAATGATATTTCAATTCTTAATAATCTGCTATTCGTTTTGTTCATGAGTTATTTATATAAAATAAAACTATCAAAATACCAAGTCTGCTTATATAATGAGTCAGTATGACCGTTAAGTAGCATCTGATTAAGTGACGAAAGAAAAATTAAGAATGATAAGATTAACTTTATAATCTTATGGATAATCCGATATCTCTTTTCAGTAGGCGTAAATATTTCTCTATAAATGAAACATTTTTGAACTTTAGCGATTGCGTTCATGAACTATTAGATGTTTGATAGATTGAAAACATCATGAAATTAGACAAAGAACTTCAATTCAATTGTTTTACAATAAAAAGATCAAATATTGATATATCTGTTTTGTTTTCAACAAAGAAATCCTGATGAAACAGTTTCACATATATTTAAACAATAAGAATTGACAAAGTACAAGAAAAAAAAAAACCTTATAGAAAAAAAAGAAGAAAATAAATATTTATTGCAAAGATAAGGCCGATTCGGTTTTGTGCATTTCACTGTTTGTTCGACTTGACATACCGAGAAGCACAATAAAAATAGTTCACACTATGTATATATACATATACACACACATAGATATTTTAAACACCAGCAAGTCCTTTGAGTAATGCTGGTTCCAAATGAGCGAAATCAAAATCTCTAACAGGCTCTAAAATATTGACAATAAATTGATTAAGTTTCTCTTGTCGGAAACAATTATTTAATGGATCATAGAATTGTTGTAGACATGCATCGCTACATTGACTTAATAATTTAAACCAATCTGATAGTAAATGAAGTCTAAAATATTATATTAAATAATGATCAAATAAACAATTGTCTAAGACATACTTGCAAGCTAAACAACACCAACTTTGAAAACGACCATCTTTACCAAAAGTAGCAAGACCTTTTTCAATTGATCGAACTCCATTTATATAACAAATAATAGTTTTCTCTAATACAGTACGTTGCCATTGGGATCGACGTCCATCATATTCATCACAAACTTTAACTAAATAGAAAAATATTAATAAAATATTCTAAAATAAAAAATTCAAAAATAAACTATGTACTTAAGAAATCCCAAACATATCGTTTTCGTCCACCACCAAAAAATGGAACATTCCCAGTTGATTTCTTCAAACCATAGGAAAGTGTTTTTTCTAATGCATTAACAAGACCATCTTCACCACATAAAATTGGTGTGATAAGTCCTCTCTAAATAGTTTTTAGTAGAAATTATTTTTTGAATACAATAATTTTTATTTAATTTACTTTTTTTTCAGGTTCATCAAAATATTTAACTAATTGATTAATCGATCGACCCAACAATTCATAAATATCATCAGCTTGTTGATTTGATTGATTTTCTAAATAATAAACAAAATCAAATTATACAAGATTGCTCAGACGAAAAAAAAAATATTGTTAGATCAATAGCAGCGGTAGTGCTGGGATGTCAAAGTAAATAAAATACAAAAAAAAAATCATTATTTCATGCAAATCTTACGACGATAAAAATTTTCCGAAAGCCAACTGAAGACAAAATCTGTAGGGGATGTTCATGTGACATTAATAATGTCATCAATTAAAATAGAAATACTAAAAAATGTCTTACTATGATCATTGACACGTCGTAAACTAGGTGATCGAGATCGTACTGAAGCTAATAAATTTGCTTGAGATCCACCACTGATGAAACTTGTTGTCATTAATTGAGGTGATGAACCAGAATCGAATAAACCATTACTATTATTATCATTCATTTCAAAGGAATATGTTGAATCAATAAAAAGAACTCGCTCCAAACTATCATCATCGACACCTTTGCCTAACCATCGTCCACATGGAAATCTATTTTTGAAATGAAAATTAAAAAAAAAAAAAAGATAAGAAAAGATTAAAATAACAAACCGATTAACATTATTTGTTAGTTGATTTCGAACAAGAACATGATCAATATTCCATCGAGGCATTAAACCACTATTATCGTGACCTATTCGAAGTGTGGTTAATTGACCCAAATTTTTGTGCTAAATATAGAACAAACTCATCATTAACTTTTGTTTTCCATTCTATTTTCTATAAAGTTAATATTTTACTTTGAATTTAATTTCAAGTGTATTTTTTGATGGTAATGGTATAACTTTTGTCGATCCCAAAAGGCCAGCTAATGCAACATATGGATTAGCCGTTGTTGTACTAGAAATTCCTGTTGCTCGTGCTCTAGTAGGAACAATAATAACATGATAAATAATATCAATATCTGGATAAGAATTTGAAAAACATTTATAATCAAGTAATTGAAGAGATTCAATATGAGCTAAAAATTGTTTTCTTAAATCTCCATCGTCGGCACGTAAAAAAGCTTCACGTTTATACAATGCTTGTAAGAGATCACTATGAGAAAATAATTCAGATAAATGACGAGATAAAAGACGACGTTCAAGTGCTAAACGAACAAAAGCACGAGCAAAACCAATTTCAGATGCTGAAACAGACACTGGATTGTGTCCAAAACATGATTCAATGGTATGAAAATCATGAGCTAGAGATGTATTCGATTGATTATCTTTCATCATTTTATCAGATGCACTAAGATTTAATGTTGAACTTGCAATTGCTAATAGAGGTGATGAACGTGCTTGATGTAGGCTCATTTGGGGACGTGGAAGAGTATGAGAACCTAATAAATACACAGATAAACAAAAGTTAACAAGACAAAATAAGGAAGTATATTGCTTACGATGACCACTGGGAGATTGTGATCGACTAGCTGATGCACTACGATTTACTAATTGTTTTCGCATTAAACACCAAACAACAGCTAAATGAAAAAATTCTTTTAACTTTTAAGACAAAAAAAAAAAAAAAATCATAAAAACTGCACCTGGATTTTCATCTTTATTCAGTGTTAGTGGAAGACCGGCATGAGACATTTGTGCTGATTCATAATTATTAAGTTTAATATAATATTTAATATGATTCCATAAAGCAGATTTTCCATTGGGTTTATGATGAAGACCATGAGACCAAGTACGTTCAAGTAAATCACAAAAGCCTGCTATTAAAACATTTTCTTCTAAATTAACCATAGATGATGAATCAACATTTTTTATTGCTGATGAACCTTCAACAATATCTTCCATTTTTTCAATAACCATTCGTTTTGTCTTAAAAAAATAATGAAAGAAAAATATTTTTCTGTTGTTTTTTTTTATATTTCAAAATAAATTTTAATAATTTACTTTAGTAGTACATTCTTTAAGTAATTGTTGAAAAACAACATCATTATCAACAAGAACAACAGCTTGTTGATGTTCATTTGAAGTAACTGTTTGTTGTTTTTTTATTCTTGTAGTACGTCGTTTTGGATATTTTGTTTGAAATGATCGAGTTAAACGTGAATTTCTTTTTGGAATTTCACTTGATAAAGATGAAGATATATCTATGGATGTTGTTGATTCAAGTAAACTTCCATTAAGATTTTCAAATAAATAAGAATTATTCGATGTAGAAAATAAATTATTAATTGGACGAATTAAAGGTGCATTCATTACAATTAAAGAAGATGGAAGAGGTGAAATAAAACGACGACGAGTTTCTTCATCAATTGAATCAATTGATGGACAACATTGATAAGTTAAATCACGACGATCACGATATAAACGAATACGATCAGAAAAATACTTCAAATAAAAAAAAAAAGATTCACATGAAATAAATTAATTAAAAAACTCTTACATATAAATGTTTATTAGTTAAACCAAAAAGATGATTATCTTCATTAAATTTTGCTGTAATTTTACTATCAACAAATGAAACAAATGATTGTGTTTCCATAAATGCAAGTAAAAAAGGAACATGTGGTTTTGGTTGATCAGCAATAAACATAGTTCGATCAAAATTTTTTGTTGTACTTCTTTGTGTTAACCATTGATCAACATTAGAATATTTGCCTGCAGGTGGATAACATATAAATGCATCCATTTGACTAAATAATTGGGCAAAACGATTTACAAATGATGCACGTAAACAATTATTCGCTGAAATTCGACGTAATTCAGATTCATTAAATAAACATGATGGTCTATTATTATTTTCATCATCATTATTATTATTAACAACAACGCCTGCACGTTTAGCTATTGCTGCAAGTCTTGCTAATGCTTGACTTGGTTCATCATTTGATTCTTTTAATAAATTATGATCATCAACATGTGTCCAATCTTCACTTTTTTGATATTTTTCTTTAGTTTTAAAAGAATTTTTCGATAAATTACTATGAATATAATTATTAAATCGAGATAAAATATTATTTAATTCATTTTTAAAAAGAGTTCGATCTGGAAAACGTGGCATATCATCAGGCAATTGAATATGTCCCGTATCAATATGAACAATACATCGTTGAACTTCAAAAGTTAATTCATCACTTGTATCACTATTTCTATCATCATCATCACCATCTTTACTATCAGAATTTACATTTGATTTATTTATGCAAAGACCCATTATAGCTGGTACAGGTACATCAAGACAAACAAGTGCAGCAGTAAATACAATTGGAACATAAAGTAGTGTCCATTGAAATGGAAATAACAGTGATGTTAAACATTCAGCAACAAGCATTAAACGATTATAATCTAAATTTATTTTATTAGTTACAATTTTGTTTTATTTATCAGAAAAAATTTTGATTAGATTAGAATAACTAAAGGAGGATATTCTCCCTAAAATTATGATTGTTTTACCAAGATTTTAAATTATAGGAAATGAAATATGATTTGAATTTTAGGAAAATTATTAAATTTAATGTATGAGCAAGGGGATTCTCACTAATATAACTTTCAAAAAAGAGACTTATAAGATCATTTGAAAAGAATTTCGAACTAGACATCGATGGAGTCTGAAAATGTTAGTTTTGATTTTAATCTCATTTTCGATCATTCAATCGAGATTAACAATATTTTAATCTTTTGCTACTTGGTTGAGATTGAATTCAATGAAAAACAAAAACATTGAAGGACATTGAGATCACGACTATGATCAGGAATCTCAGTAGATGCCAATGTCCAGTTGAAGAAATTATTATTGATAAACAACAGTTCAAACTTGGTATCACACTTCATTACGACTGTTAGATAGTGCTGTTACTAATTTTTTTTGTTACTACTTAAGCAATTGATGCTTTTTTTATGTACTTTATTCTTTCATAAATATTATATTGTAAAATTGCGTTAGGAGATGTTCTCTTAAAGACATTGTTCCAAACAAAGTTAGGTTTAAAAAGTTAGTATAAGAAATCGCCTAATAATATACAGAAAATATCTTAGAAAACATCCGGACATGCCGGAACGTTTGTTTGTCTCCTCACTCGAAAATGGTTGCCTGAATACTGTTGATAGACAATGAAACACGAGTAGGACAAGTCATTTTGGATCCTGATTCCGGTGGGATATTAATAAAATACACTCTGAGCAACTCTAAGTGCCCTTTTACTTTGAACTTATATCAATAGAAAGCACTTAAAATTCTGAGTCTACTGAACGCTACTCTAAGGCAAATGTTCAAACAAATAGATGCTCGGAAAAAATGACGTTATTTCCAAATATTTATTGTGTTGAGCTATTGGCTGAGTGTAAGATCCACTAGAGTCAGAATTTCCAGTGAGATTGAGATCAAGATCATCTTGTCCCTAACTATAGATCAGTTATTATGAATTCGAATCTTTGTCGAGCATAACAAAAAAAAATTCTAGTTAGCAGAATTCTTTTATCCAATAGAGAATTTAATAAATTGAATACCTGAAGATTTAAGAATAATCTGATGTTCTAATAAAGCACATGTAACAAGATCAATAACACCTTCAACACCCAATAAAGAAAAAAAATCCAACAAATTAAAATCTAATAATGGTAAATCACCATCATGAATACTTGGTTGCCAAACAGTTAATTGTCGTTCACCAACATTAAATTTCAAAACTGAATGTGATAATGATGGAGATGGTATATGTAATTCATGTAATATATTATATAAATGAGCTTCAAATGGTAAACCTAATAAATCATGTTCAATTGTCATACGATAAAGAAGTTCTAAAATACGTTTAAATGTTGAATAATGTGCTTGTGGACCAATTAAACATATTGTTTTGCTTGCATAAATTAATGATGATGAACGACGTTGATGTCGACATGTTCGATTATAATTTTCAATTAAACGCATTAAAGAAATAAATGCTGTTGTTGATGATGAACATCCCGAATTATTTTCATCATCATTATTTATTTGTTCGAAAAATGTTAATGCAACACCATAATAACGTGTTCCATCAAGACGTGTTATTAAAAAAGGATGTGTTCTTGGAGGATCAGGAGAATTCAATCGAATAGAAACACCATCTGGCATTGATAACTATTTTTTTTGCAGAAAAAGAAAATAAAAAAAAAGAAAAATATTTAAATATTTTCTACGATCTATATTCTTACACGACTAATTGCATCTTCATCAAATAGATTATTTGGAACTTCATGTGGATAATGACATAATACACGACATCGATATGAACATTGAAATGGATTTAAAACTTGTTCATCTACGGAAACATTTTGTTTTTTATTTCATTAAATAAATAAGAAAAATAAAAAATTTTTTTTTTACCAGGTAATTCTGATAAAGGTTCAACATCAAGATATTTATCTAGACCACAAACCACAAAATAATCAACAAGACGAATCGATTGTTGTTGCTGTTGTTGGTGTTCATTTAATAAAAATGATTTATCTGGTGACGATATTGAATTGGATGATTCAGGTGAAAGTGTTGTTGTTGATGATGAAGTTGGAGAAAATGATTCTATTGAATTAATTACTGGTGATGAATTAATAAGAGAAGATTTATTTGATACTGTCATTGCAGCTGCCATTGATCATTTCTTTTTAATTATAATCATTAGAGAATATATAAACATAATACAGATAAGATAACATAGAAATAATAAATACACTTAACATTTATCTTTGAACAAACTATAACCAATAATGACTATGTACAAATGATATATCTGAAAATGAACATATCTTATCACAATAAAGGCAAAGATAAATTTTATTTTGTTCTTTTTCAAAGATTTTTCTCCTCCGAAAAGAAAAAAAGAAAATCAAATCAATTGAGAAAAAAAGAATGTACCCGAAAAAAAAAACAAATAAAAAGTACATTCAATGGATTCTTTTGTCGTTTGAAGGAATGAAAACTGCTGGACAAATTCTTATATAAAGAAAAGAAAGAAAGAAAGAAAGAAATACATGATGAATAAAACAAAAAGTATTTTGTTAGTAGAATGTTTTTACACTAGTGGTGGAGCCTGGGGAGTGCTGAGCCCCCTCAGAAACTTTTGACCTCCTCCAGGAACATTTTTCAAGCATGCATTTCATTCGCCAAAGGGGCTCAAAGATGCATAAGAGGGGGTTGAGCTCTTCCCTCAATCTCCTCCGGCCCAAAATCCGGGCTCTGTCACTATTTCACACACTAAATACGAGATAATTATGGGTACGAAAAAAGAAAAACGTTAAGTGACAAAAACAAAATATAAATAATATGTAAATGGTTTGTTTTTAATGGAATGGCAAATATTATATGTTTTTTTTTTGTTTCTAATATATTTTATTTACTGCATTTTTGATCGTTCTAATTTTGTATTGATGATTTCATCTTCACTGTCTAATGCTTGTAATGCTTGATCAGCAATTGATGTTGGAATATTATCTTCAACCCATGATAAAGCATCTTCAACTGTACCATTACCACTTGAACCTCCAAATCCACTACCGGATACATTTGCTTCACGATTTAAGAATGATTGTTGTTGTTTTTTAGTTTTGAATGATCCACCACTTTCAATATTTGATGCTTTACGCATCGTTATTGAATCAAAGACAGCAGATTCTATGATAGAAAAAAAAAAGATATCTTTTTTTCTCATATCTAAAACAGATTTAGTTAATGTTGCTCGAGAAAATTTCAATTCAATCATGGATATTCTAGTTCGAGGAATTTAGTTATTTGTATTCATGAATAAAATTACTACACTATTTTCATATGATGATATTAACACATGTTGATTGAATATCTAAAAGATACATCGGTTTTCTTATTCTACTAAATTATTTTTCTATAAAATCGTAAATAATTCAAGTAAATCTCGATGATTTATTTAGGAAATTTGTATACAGAATATTTTATCTTAATAAAAAGTGTGGAGAGTTACATTAATAATGTAATAGACATCGGGAAGTAATCCATAATAATTTCCAGCAGATAAATAAATTAGATTAGATCGACATGACCTTTTACATAATGCAAAGATCATTATAGCAGCTTTTATTTTCTGTTAAGAAACGATTCTCGTATTAAGCGACATAAATAGAACAAGAAAACCTTCACGTATCATGTTTTATCACTAGATAATATTAAGATCGAATTACTCATAATATATTAAAGATTGTTTGTTTTCAATTAAATAAATTCTGAAAAAAATCGTAGAATTTCTCTTTTTTTTGCATAACGAATAAAAAGCTCAATAAAATTCTTTTAAAAAAACTGTTCAAATATGATTTGATAAATTTTATAATTATAAATTAATCTATGTTGAAAATTCCAAGACAAACTAATATTATTTAAAAATTCATTTCATTGATTTATTGAATGATTTTTGTTTTTTTTGCAGAAAGATGCTCTTCTTAAACAAAATAATAACAATGAATATTTGCTTGTAATAAAATAATGATTTATATTCGTGATGTGTCAAACACGAGAATGTCATTTTCCCCATGAGTAAAAGATAGTACATTTATTTATTGTTATCTTACCGCCTTTTTCTTCATCTCCATCACCAAACTGATCATCATCATCATTATCTGAATGATCAAGTAATGGAACAAAAGCATAACGTTGATTATTATTTGATGGACGAAATAAAAACATAATGACAAGTAGAATTATGGAAAATAATATATGCCAAAATGCATCATCAACCTAAAATTAATTTCTATTTATATTTCTTAAGAAGAAAGAAAAAAAAAAGAAAGCAAAAATTTACCCAAAATTCTCTCCAATTAGTTATGCATTTTGTAAAAAAATGTGATTTTAATGACCAAATCATAAAAAAAATACTTGTAACAATAGCAAATAAAATCGTATTTGTAAAATGTCGATAAACATTTAATTTAAGTATATTTTTTCTTAAACGTAATGTTCGTGTTGTTGCAACTAAACTAGTAAATATCCAATAATAAATAAGAGCATCAATAACAGCCAATGGTATACGTGATATTAATATTTTATTATCTGTTTCATCGTGTTTAGTATTAATTCGAAGAACTCCTTCTGTTGTTGCTATTCCAAAATAAAGTATTCCTACAGCAAGAAGTTGTTGTTTTAATGGTCCCAAACGTGGTTTAACTATTCCATAACCAAGTGCAACAATAATAACTAGCATACGTGATACTGTACGTTTTAAACATGATAGAACTTCTGCTGCAACTATCGCATAATGAACTTTATATCTATATGACAAAGAAAAGGAATCAATTCTATTTTTGTTTAGATTTGAATAGTTAATTTTTACCCATTTTTATTTAATGTATCATATTCAGCTAAAAATGCTGATTTTTCTATCATACCAATAAGAATAACTCCTCCAATCCAAAATTGTATTTTAAGTAATTCTTTCCAATATAAAGCACACCAAATACACCATAATATAGCAAATAGTGCATAAATAGCACACATAACACCATAAAAAACTAAAGCTGGATATTCATCAGCTGTGATATAACCACCACGATGATTTTTCATTGATACAATAACATCAATATCAAGTCCAGAAGAATCCTGACCTGTTTTTTCCGGTGGAGAAATTTCAATAAGATAATATCCATCAGCCCATGTTAATAGTGTTCCTGTACTTGCACGTAAACTCTTAACTAAAGGTGATGATTTATCATCAATAGCACGAGAGTTTCTTTTATTTTTATTATATGTTTGTTGTGATCTTAATTTAATAGCTTTCTTTGGTGTTGTGTCTAGTTTTATAATGTCTGAATATTTTTCAATAAATAAATGTGTTCCAGAATAATCACAATCTGACTGTTTTGCTATAAATGTTCTTTGTTCCGTTTGTTTCAACAGACGTTCATAATCTATTTCTAAAACGTTTTTTTGTGAATTTTTATCTTTTTGTGTTGTAGGTATAAATGCATCTGATTGTATTGGTAAACATCCAGTAATACGACTAATTCGACCACGAATTGTAATACTTGTATCTTTAACTGTTTTATCTAATTTATATAGTTTTCGTTTTATTTGTTCTTGTGTTACACTTGCATTTAATGATGGTTCACGACAAAGAATTTTTAATTGAATTTGCGTATTATTTGTTAAAAAACGATCAATTAATGGAATTTGTTCATTTTGTGACCAAGAAATAGTGACAATTCCATCGACAAGAGTTGCCGAAGAATAAGTTATCAAAGATAAGAATAGTAAAAAAATGCGTAAATATTCTTTCATTACTATTAATCTAAAAGCAAAAGAAAAAAATTTAACTAAAATCAACATTTGAAATTTTGTTTGTCTTTTATTTTTGTGCTGCATTTTACTTTCATATGTAAAAGATCGAATAAAAGAGTATCATGTAACTATTGCACATTAATGTAAATGAGTAGATTGTCACTCAACCATGTCTTTTAAATAATATATTCATATTAACAAGATTTATTTGACGAATTTTAATTAATTATTTTTATATCGAATATTAAAAAAAAATAATAAATGCTTCGAGGAAGAATTCAGTGAAAGAAAGAAGGCTGAAGTATTTTATTTCATTGGTTAGTTTTTAATGTATCAATAAAATAGAAAATGATGTCGCCCTTGTGGTTTATTGTTTATTTCTTATTGTCTCTATAACTACTTTTGGTTTTTCCTATTGATAAATAGGTGTTAGTTATTGATATTCTTTCAAAGATTAAATATATTCGTTTGTTTTTTTTTTTAAATAGATATATCGAATTAAAAATTCCTTGATTAAAGAAGGATGAGCAATCTTCTCCTTCGACATGTCAAATTAACTCATCCTCAAGTAGCTTCGATGTTACAATATCAATGTCGTGTAGATGCTTCAACAGCATCAGTAGGAAGTAAATCTGTTGTGCAACAAAGTCCAGTTATATTAGATAATACAAAACCACCTCCACCATTAGATGCTGATCGTATGCGTATGCATCCACGTATTGGAAATCGTGAAATAGTTGGTTATGGTTTAAAAGGAAAACCAGAATATTTTGATTTAGTTATGTTTCCTTGTCCAAGTATTCGTTGGGAAGCTGATACACCAGAAATTGCTGAATTAAGAAAAAAAGAAAAAGGTGATTGGAAACAATTATCAGTTGAAGAAAAAAAACGACGTAAGTTTTGTTTTATATATTTGTTTTTTATTAAGATTTTTTTTCTTTAGTTTATCGAGCAAGTTTTCGTCAAACATTCGAAGAATTTACAGCTCCAACTGGTGTTTGGAAATGGACCATTGGATGGACTTTAATCACATTAGCAGGTTTAATTATGGCATATGATGGATGGCGACGTGTTGGTATGGATTCATTTTAAATTAATAAATATTTTTCTTTTATACATATATTATTTTAGCCTATCGTTTTGAGAAACCAGATAGTTTCAGTGACGAAAAATTAAAGAGACAATTACAATATCACATCGCTGCTCGACAAGGTCCTATGAGAGGCTTATCATCTAAATGGGATTATGAAACTGGTTAGTTATTATTCTATTGTTTTTGTTAATTTTCATTGACTTCTTTTAGGTACATGGAAAAAATAAAAGAAAAAAAAAGCAAGATTTCAAATCTTTAATGAT